TCTTAGTGAGTAGGTTGCTTTTATTTAAGACTGCTAAAATACTCATTAGATTTAGGGAGTTTAGAAATAGTCCTGAATATGTGAAAGTAGATGAAAAAACAGATATTCTGAAAGCATAATCATTCATCTGTTTCTCTGAATAACCTCACCCTCCTCAGAAGGGCTTTAGAGTGTACTGGAGGTGAGGGGGGGCATTTTTGTGAGATTATGTTGTTAAAATATGGACAAACCAGCAATGTCCTTTCTCAAGAAGACATTTTAACACAATGGCTAAAGCACAATGAAATTAATAGGGAAGTGCTGCTTGACAGAAATGTAGATATTTGAGCCAAAAATATATTTCCTCACCAACACATGCATTTGATGCATTAGATATTTTAGAGGCTCACTGTATCTCATCCTCTTCAAATGTTAACCTCCAAGTGTTCTGGCCCTGATCCTGCCCATGATGTCACTGGTGCTTTTAGGCTCACAGAGAAGTGCATGGGAAGTTATTTGCAGGATCAGGGCCTTCATAAGGTTCAACGAAACATATTAATCACTTACAACCAACTCACTCAACTCCTCCCTTCACTGCTATTTGGAAAGAAAATATTGGAGAGCTATACACTACATTAAAACTACAAGTCTGCATTGAAATATGTTAGGTATGTCCATCCATAGCTAAATCAAGATGAAATGAGTTACACAGGTAATTTACCATGCTTGTGTAATTGCAAAGAGAGAGGGCAAATTTCATTTTGAGTTGGAGGGACATAAGATGCCCAAAGTGTTGGCAGCATGAAAATTAGTAATAAATACATAATATGATCAAATGTATACAAAAAAATGGTGCTTACTTATAACTTCCTATTGGCCAGTGTTCAAACGTGTTAAGCAATGTGTTCTGCTAATTTCAGTATCTTCAGCAGCTACTGATGGGATGATGTAGTTTAGTTTGATAAGTCAGTATGAAACCAGCTTACAGAAAAACACTAGCCACAAGAGTAAGCATGTTGAAGACATACCACCCTCCCATTTTGACTGGGCTAATAAGATGCTGAGTTGGCCCTAAGACATTGCATATTGTGTGATGCCATAATTTATATAATGATGTATTTCAAATGCTCCCATACTTCAATTTCAACTCACATTTTCTAACACTCTAGTCCTCTCTGGTATTCCAGGGCTAAAGTTACTGAGGGGACAGATTAGTTTAGACATGAAGTCTTCAGAAGCTGCTCATCCAACACATACAGCTTTATCTTCAAGGGCAACGTTCAATATTTTCAGCCACCTAATCATATACAGCAATAGGAAGTAAATGAGAGTTCTGCAGTGTTGGATGGCCCACTACAAATGCAGTAGATTAAAAAGCACTAATCCCCACTGATTCCACAATCCTCTAGCAGTTCAGCAAAAAAAGAACATTCTCCAAGCTAGAGATCTTAAAAAAAAACCAAAACAAACCCAATGTTGGACTACTCGAATAAAATGCTGTACTATAAGGAACGTCTGGATTTGGAGAAGCTGACGGATAAGTGAACCAAATGAATAATTCAATGAATTTTTTTTCCTGCTTACATGTTTCTTCAGTTCCAGCCAAAATCACAGTTGTGTAAGCTCTGTGTTTACTTTTGAGACATAACATTTTAGAGAAAACAAATCAATTACTGCTTTTTCCCTTAACAGATTGCAGATTAGAGGAATTTAAAGCATTAACAGTTCATTTGTACGACCTAGGATGACAAAGTCCAACAGTAATGCAAATTCTCTTGACGTTTTTCTTTAATTTTTAATAGAAAGCAAATACATACACATTAAGTTTAACACTAATGAATGCCAATTGTGTACTGTAAAGGGACTATGTCACAATTTAAAAAAAAAATTTAAAATTTTGCAGAGAACTGTTCACAACAGAGGAAAAATGCTTGTGTACCAAAGATGCAGAACTTGATACCCACAGGTCTTAGCAATTAAGTGTATAAATTTATTAAAATTGAAAGATTGCAAATGTTATAGTAACTTACATTTGAACTTTTCGTTTGTTTCTAAATTTGAAAGTGGAGGCAAAAAGTAAACTACAAAATAAGAATACAGAAAATTGAAGGTACCATCAACTTCTATCACACACACAAAAAAGATGCTGCCTATTTTATAAAATGTGACACATATAGCAAACCCAGCACAAATATCTGTCTTTAGTTTTCTTACTTGAAAAAAAAAAAAGTGAATTTATTGTTGCTGGCAGGATGATATGGATGAAATAACCAGGAAGAACTGAGGGGGGAAGGGGAGAAAGAGAAGCCAAGAAATCAGATACATTCAATGAGCCTTCAAACTTACTTCAGCAGTAGGGATAAATAATTTAATCAACTCAGCTTCATTCTTTTTCTTCCTACCTCCCTAGTGCAATTGGCAGATATTAAAAAATAAAACTTTAAAATTCATGAGCAGTTGTGTGTGGAAGAACTATAACTATATAATAAGAAATATAAAGTGATATCTATGCAAGCCCTTTGTGTAGATATGCATCTGCAAGTGCTTTTTAACTCACACTTTTCACCATATGAAAAGGAAATTATTGGTTAAATTGATATGCATGGCAACTTTTTTTTTTTTTTTATTTTCTAAATTGCAATTTGGGGATGTGGGCAAATACAGATTTTCAACAACATTTGGCTTTTTGGCTAACATGAGTACTATAGGCAATGTAGTTTGAAAGATTTGATATAACTAGCAGAGTTCAACAAATATTGTTATAGTACCCCCTAATTAAGGGAAATATTTGGAAAACAGCAGTTTGGTAAAAGTCACCAATATCATACGGCACCGTTATCAGGACAAATGATCAATCATCATTTTAATGAGGTGACTTTAATCCCGATTTTCCAAAACAACTTAATACTCCATAAACTCAGTAGAAATAAAATTCATTGCTGAAAAAGTGTTCCTTTTGTAGTTTACCAAGGATGCATTAATAACTACAGAGAAAAATTAACTCAAGTGACCAAAGCTTTGAAAAATATCTATATTTTTATATCATATATAGTCATACAGATAATAATTTTCGACGTCTAAACCAGACTGACTTCTTGTCATGGTAAACGATAGGGTCACTTCACCAATCACATTTCAGTGGTGTCTGTGATGCCTAAACATACAAATTTTTAAACTATTAAATGTTTGATGTGTGAAACGAAATGATGGAGTGGAGTTAATAGTGATCTTCAGTGTTAAACGTCACCTAATCAAGACTAAATCTAATATTTCTCATAGCAATCGAGATACAATGAATACGTAAAACCTTGCATCACTTGGTATCATAGCTTAATCTTAGCACTACACATTGAAAACTCTGATTTAGTATCTAAGAGGTAATTACTGCTTAAATTAATTTTGCCACGTCATGAGTGTTATGACTTCTGACAGCTTAAAGGTACGACCTTTCCACTTTTGCCTTTGGCAGCTGGAATTGCGAAGCTAAAAGCCAGGGGGCAAAAATAAACAAAACCTGGCCCGGAACATCCCCACCGCTAACGTGCGGCTCTGAGGCTCCTGCATCCCTGGGAGGTTGAGGGGTGCCCGCACCGCAGGAAAGGGCTGTTCCCTCGGCGGAAAGGGAAGAAGGGACAACCTTTTGTCCGCCCGCTGTAACTTTCGGTTTTACCCGGCGCTGCTCTGTGACCCTGTGGGAAAGGGGCTCTTTGACATTTCCAAC